ACTTCTATCAAGAAAAAAAGATGCGTCCTAATAAGATCAAAAATTTGTTATCCGCTTCCATTAGTGTAAACGAGAAATTTGATTATTTAAAAGCAAATAGCGCGCGCGTCTGTTGCGTGCATTGAATACCCGCTGCCGTTTTTCGCATAGCCTTTTGAATGTAGACATCTTGTAGATATAGTGAAATCGACATCCGCGAGTTTTAAAATCCAGATTTAACAACTTTTTTCACAAAATTCATGCAAACATATATTAATAAATATATAAAAACTTTTTTATTTGCGGAGAATTAAATTACATTATCTGAATTGTTAGACGAATAAGATTAAGAGATCGCTTTACTGCACGCCTATAATTCCTAAATGAGCAACGGTGACTGACGATGCATGGGAGCACTCATTGCACTGACAGAATGTGCGTAATGTACCTGGCTTTGTAAACGACCGCTTGTCGCGGATCATGAATCCAACAATTCGCAATAATTGACAGATCCTATTCACTTCTCTCTTCCGACGAGGAGAATTATACAATGAAACTTATACCGATCTTAATAAAACTTAATGCATGAAATGTGCGCGAATGGATTTCTATATAATTACCGCGGCTCGTTATATCGATGGAAGAGGATATAATTATAGTAATGCAATTAGCAAAGGCTCTTTTAAGAGTAAAAAACATGCATGTACATTTGAAAATCAAATCCCATTGTGTTTCTGATAATATATTATATCAACCATTTCAATGCGCCTGCCATTTCAAATGTGAGAGCTTCACATACAGACTGCAACAATGTAGTTATTCGATAACATACAACTTATGAGATTATTGAATTTATATAGAATGACAGAAAAATAGAATTTTGAATTCCGAAATGTAGCGATGCCAATATGTACCAATAAATGTGCAGAAAAAAAAAGAATGTAATCGAATTAGCTTAAAAGCTGCTTTTTGCGAATATAACCTTGTGTAATAAAGGAAGTAAGAATAAGATTATGAAAAAATCATAAAAGATTGGATGTGCCGTGGCCTATTAATAATTCATCCATCTCGATTCTTTGGATTTCGAACTCTTTCCGAAAAGCTAACTTCGATGGAATCAAGAATTTTGCGTGAAATTGAATATGCAAATGCCGCATGGGACAACATCGATTCTGTTAGGTGAGAGAAATACTTGAGTACATATTAAATTTCGGACTATAGCGGCGTGATGATGCACGTACCATAGTATAAACTGTTGCTAACTTACTTCGTATCATCACGCGTAGTTTCGTAAGTATACTATCTCGTCTCGAAAATTTTCTTTGAAGTAGTAATTGGCTTGCTTATTAATGGCCTCTTAGAAGTTTCTAAGCTTGATGAGCGGGCCGTCTATAAAGCTGAGCTTAATGAAAGGAATTTTGTTATATATTGTACAAACAATCTTGTCACTCTTACAATAACGTTTACTTCATTATCATAATAAATTTCACCGCAAAATATTTTGCAGATCGATATAAAAAAAATCAGTTGAAATCGATATATATCGAGTCTATCTTACAATTACGATATAATTATGAATTGTAATTGTTAGGTCTTAATTTTTTGTTTTCTTATCTATTAGTCTATTCTTAATTTCAAAAGGCAACGTTAACATTTTTGTGTATTAAAATATTTAGCCTAGATTTTTGTGCAAGAAAATATATATAAAAAATATATTTATATGGAATCAAATATTTTATAGTAGATATTATTATATCAGAATTATATTTTCCCTGTTAGAATCTAAAGAATGATGAAATTGCTCTTTTGACTCTATTTCAAATTTTCGAGACCATTGTATTCTAGAAATGTAGTAGAAACGATCACTTGAATCTTTCTGGCTGACTTACAATAGGAATTGCTTTGTAAACGTTGGATCGCCACTCCAGACCTTATTGCGGCGCAACTATATGACGACATGCGATGATTTCGAATGACCATCCTCTTCCAAAATCGTGCACACAAGAACATTGCAGAATTATAAAGCGTCAAGCTTAGTCCTCGCTTGACCCGCTTACGTTAACTCGTGCTATTCACTGCCGAGTTTCTCGAGCACTTTGCAAACTTCGGCGCGCACGTAGGTGGGCTATAAGTATAAGTACTAGTAAGTAAGTAAGAGTATGTATACCGCCGGTTATACGTGGAGGGTTCGCGCGATGGCATGATACTTAAGTCGAGGACGTTCACGTGTTACAGATTTACCCAGGTTTGGCAAGCCGTTGAACAACCTCACGGTCTCGGTGGGTCGCGAAGCCATTTTCACCTGCGTTGTCGAGGATCTCGGACCATACAAGGTGAGATGCAACATTATAGCCTCAGCGATCCTATTTCCACGCGCGGTTGCAGCCATACATTGTGCCATGCTGTCGCTGCAATTGCACACTGTGTCGCGCGCACTGATGTCCCTCTGTATGATTGGGATTGGTTTCGATTAGATCGTGTAAATTTCATTGGACACCCGTGGTTGTTTGATTGTAATGCAATTTTTTGATCGAATCTTGAAATAATTCTCTTTATTCAAAATGTGATGTGAAAATCTAATAAGATCAATACGATTTTTCTCTTTTTCAATTTTATAATAATTCATAATAACACATATAATAAATCGCTCAACTATCTATTAATTTTATTTTTAAAAGTGAGGAAGACTTTTCCAAAAAATCTTATATGATTTGTAATAAATATGAGTTTAATATGAATGATTTTCATTTTCCTATTTAGCCATTTTCGTAAATACGAGATGAAAATCAGATAGCGAGAGTTTGCAGTAAGTTTACTATGCAAATACAGATCTTTATCTCTAAATTACGAAATCACGTCGGTTACTCCCACGGTAACATACAGATACGCTGTAATTTGCGATTTAGAAAATTGGTACTAAGATGCTTTGAGCAGCGCGGCGACGTCATTACTGAACTACGTCGGTAAAGTTCTACAAGAGAGAAGTTAACGAACAGTACAAATAAATTCAAAGAGTGAGATTGGAGCTCTAGAATCACAGTGCGTATCTGGGCAACTCTATTTAAATAGAAATAAAATCCCGCGGGGTGT